CTGTAACTTTTATCCATGTATTTTTTCTTTTAATGTTTATTTTATTAGCTTTTCTTTTTAATGACTGATTTTAAATGCCATTTTCTTAATCTCTTTCATTTTTTGTAAAGCACTTTTTGCCTTGTGTTGAAAAGTGCTATATAAATAAACTTGCCTTGCCTTGCCTAACATCTGGGGTGGTTGCAGGGCTGTTTCCCCCCCAAATCTGTGCCTCAGGCCTGTTATTGTAATTACTCATGCTTCCTATTCTGACTGTGCAAGTAACCTTGTGTGTGTGACTGATAGTAAATTCTGAATCTCAAAGGAACTGATTTTATTACTTCTGGCTAAGTTGATGGGTGTGAACGGACGGATGAGAGAACACACAAACACTCGCAGAGTTTTAACGAAGAAGAAATATTCCTGCCGTCGAGGTGGCGGTCTGAATCCGACAGTTTACGCTGTGGCTTTGTCTTATTTTGCAATGAGCCTCGCTTCAGTCTCACCGAGAATGATTTGGATGGTACATTGCCCAATAGGTATAAAAAAGGCCGCTTTACAGAAATAATACAGAAAGGAGTTAATGCAAAACGTAATGAAACAGATGATTGAGTTATTCCAGCATATCATAAAGCTTTTGTATGTAAGAGGGGAAAGACATTACACACAAAGCAGATTCAATAATAACATGCAGGTTATACACAAGTATTGAAGGGAATTTAGAAAAGTAATTGATAAAGAAAAAATATATTTTGTTTCTTTTCATTGTCTAAAGAAGGGGATGAATACAATTTGTATGTGTTTTTCTTGAAGCTACACCAACATGTAACACTTTATTGATCTCAATTTGGGAAACCTTTTCAATGTTTTTTATCTTTTATTTTATTAATCAAGATTCATTGTAATTATATTCCTTGATAACAAAAAAGGAGAACAATAAAGAAAAAATGCTACATCATTTGTTTCTTTCTTGAAGCTATATTACATATTGAATGACTCTTCAACATTAATTATAACTACTAATACTTGTGTTTGTAACAGGAGTGCGAAAAACACATTTCCTCAACAAGCTCTTAGGAAATTAGATGTATTCGTCCCTGCAAAAGCACCAGAGACAGTCGAATATCGTTTCCATGGAAACAATGCAGGTGCCAAATCATTTGATAATTAATCAAAAGGATGATGAGAAAAAAACATCCTCAAAACACACAATCATACCGACACTCACCTGCTATCAGCATCAGGTAAATAAAGAGTGTTTTCACCGGCGTTGGTTTAGTGCATGGGATGTAATGTGGAAAATAGGAGCTTGATTTGTTTTTTGGGCACATGAAAACATGTTTTGTTGCTTCTGTTCGGCCATGAAGGCAACACTTTCCGGCCCCTCTATAACCAAGGCGTTTAATAAAACTAACACATGAGTGATGAGAACAGAAGAGAAGAGAGTTAATGAGTAAGTAAAAGCAAATAGATGGAAAAATTAGATCAGAGTCCCTGCAGGAATCACAATTAAGTACTTACATAATGCACATGGACACACGCGCGCACACACACCTCTACACACACACGCACACACACCCACCCACACACACACACACCTCTACACGCACATACACCTCTACACACACACACGCACACACACCCACACACACACCACACACACACACACACACACACACTTTGAACAGTTTGTGTGTGTTTCTAGTACCAGGTCATGTCGACTGTATACCCATAGCTCTCATTCATAGAGAAAAATGACCTTTAATGAGCTGGGACCCACCATGGACAGAATGAGGTTATGAAGAGATATTCAGGTGGGTTTTTCTGCCATTAGACATGAAGCTTTCATTTTCCAGCTCCTATCCTTCATCCAACCCTCGCTTTTTTTTCACTTGGCTTTGCAGAAAACCCTTCGGAAATTACAAGCTGGTAGTGTGGAGGTAATTTTTCTTATACTTAAGCACTAGACAGAGTGAGACAGGCAGTGTTTTTTGTGAAATGCCAGACATTATTTTGTTTTTTCGCCTTGGTTTTATCCTCCAACTCCTGAGAAAAACAACTCTCTGGGTCTGTTTGGCTTGTTAGATGTTTTGTTAGGCTCTCAGTGATTCAATCTCACTGATATTTTGTACAAAACAGCAGGAAAAACTACATGCATGCTGCTAAATATTGTGCCCCTTCTTATTGGAAACTATAGTGCTTGATATTCCTTCGGTTCAAAGATTTGATATTCATGAGAACAACATATAGAAAGCTTTAAACGCTACAAAACATTTCCGAGGTGCATAACACATATATGGTCATTCATGTATTTATCTTAGTGCACTCAGCTCTCTGCTATTTTGTACAAATAGCCGCAAACTAGGGTTCTCATTCTTATTGAAACTCAAGAGCTTGCAACCACTTCACTCTAAAGCAAGTTATTTGATTCGATATTACCTTAAAAACATATATCTGGTCATTAATGTCTCCATCCTGCAGGGTTGCAGATCAGTGGAGTATTTCAGGCTGGTTCTACCTTGCAGCAGATGCGAGATTATATGGGAATAAGCTGTCACTAAATAGCTTCATAAGCAATCTATCCCCACTGGGAGAAGAAAACTGGATTGTGTAGTCTCCATATGATCCTCTCTCTCTCCTTAGTGTGTGCACATCTGCCAGTGTCTATTTGCATTAGGAGGGACTAAGCATTTCATTACAAGTGTACCGTGCTCCCACTGTGTCATCGGAGCCAGTGTGGCTTCCTTTCTGAGATGCAAATAACAGAATCAGACGAAGTGTGTTTGTGCGTGTGAGTCTGTGTTTGGGCGGCTGCACATTCCAGTAATAGTGATGTAATCGCAGGCTCAAGCCCAATTAGCCTAGAGGGTGACTCTGTAATAATCCCTACCCCTGGGCATAATGGCCTATTAAAGCAGCACAGGACAGAATAAATGAGTATGTCTAAGGAAAGAGAAAGAAGGGGGGGGAGATGGGAGGAGAGGTAGGATGTACCATTTAAGGGAGGGTATAATAGACGCGTAGGATAGGAAGAATGGAAAAAATAGTTCTTCTTAAAACATTTCTGTGCATTTCAGTGTGATTTTGAAAATGTTAATTGTTCTACAGCATTTCATTTAAATATGAAACCAGGCGGTCATTGCACTTTGGCTGAAATCATACTCTAATAACTTATGTTATTATTACTTATATAAGTATTTAAGCATGCCTAAATGTGACAATTGTCTTACATATCCCTAGTTTGAATTGTACATTTGTTGATTAGCATGCCACAACAAGCAACACATGTTGAAAAAAAAGTATTAAAAAAGTATTTGATTGACTGGAAAAGTGTCAAAATCGTTATATTTAAGTAGAATAATGAGTAAAGAATAAGAGAGTTAAAAAGTCTAAAACAATTGGCAGTAACACAAATTGTTCAAATTGAGAACCATAAATCTAGTGCACTATGTTTGTCAACTGGAGTACCGCAGGGCTCTGTATTGGGCCCAATCCTGTTTAGTATGTACATAAATGATCTGCCTTCTGTGTGTGGAGAATGTGATGTATTAATGTATGCTGATGATACAGTTGTTTTTACTCATGGCAAAGCCGCAGGAGAGGCTGCTACCACGGTCACTGATGTGTTGGAGAATATTACATCCTGGCTTAACAATAATTGTTTGCAACCAAATGTCTCAAAGACAGTGTGTATGTTCTTCTCCAAGGGCCAAAGCATTATAACAAAACAAGATGTTTTATTTTCTGGAAGGAGACTTCAGGTTGTCTCGGAGTACAAGTACTTAGGAGTACATATTGACACAAACCTCAATTTCAAAACCCATATCAAAAAGGTCTACAATAAAGTAAAGTTCAATCTGTCAAATTACAGATACATTAGAAACTTCCTATCATCTGCAGCAGCTAAGCTATACCTTCACTCAATGGTCCTCTCCCACATCAACTACTGTCTGATCAGCTGGTCTAGTGCTCATTCTACAGCTCTAAGGCCACTGGAATCACTGTATAAACAAGCACTCAAAACACTAGACAAAAAGCCATTCCGGTATCATCATTGTCACATTGTTAAAAAGTATAATCTGTTCAACTGGGAAAAATCTCATAGTTTACAAAAACATCTGCTTAGTTTATAAGATCACTCGTGGGTTGGCTCCTCCTCCTCTGGCTGGCTGCATCAGCCTAAAGCCCACCTCAACCAGGGCTACTAGAGGTGCGGCTAGGGGAGACTGCACCATCCCATTTAGGAACAGCGCATTCAGCCAGGCTGTCTTTTCATTCCACGCATCCCATCAATGGAATTCAATACCACAACCAATAAGAGAGTCCTCATCCTACTACACATTCAAGCACAGTGTTACAAAGTGGCTCATTGAAAACCAACAGTGTCAGCACTGATGTGTGGGTGTGTGTATGAGTGTGTATTGTAAATGTTTTATTTATTATCATGACTTGCTCTTATCTGTATTCAGTGATGTCATCTATTGTAAATATGTACAATGGTATAACAATGTTGTGGTATTTTTATTATTGCTTTTAGGATGTCTATCACCATCTGGCAAAGGGACTATCGATGAAAACTAGCCTTTTGACTAATTCGAGTACTTTTACGTGTGTTTAATATGTTCATTAATGTACACTGTCCCTTGTTTTAAATAAATCAATTCAATTCAACAGTAAGTGCACTTCCTGTATGCGAATGCTGGTGAACTTCTCCAGCAAGTTTCCAAATATAGACATGATCTAACTGTACCAAACAAGCTTTAAAATAACCCTATGCAAATAGAATATGTAAGAAAGCTATTTAGCTGTCCAGATTCCAACCCTGTATGCATGGATTTTCAGTGAAACGCCAACATTATTCTTGTTTTGTGTCGGAGTAATACTTTGAATTCAACAGGAAATACAACAGGGACAGGCATCACGACTTGGTAATGATTGTGGATTTATTTGTTAAACTAATTGGCTTCTCACTTAAGTTGTGTGTTGTGTCTTAATGTGTGTGTACCTGTAGACAGACTCACCTGATGATAGGTCGACTCGCTGGTTTCCGGTCTCCTGCGTCATGTTGAGATGAACCCCCACCTTGCTGTCCTCCAGAGAGATCTCCAGCGTGCCGTCGTCCAGATTACTGAACAAGAGGAGCCCTTCGGGGTTCCAGGTACGAAACTGGAAGCTGACAGATAAAGTGTCGTGATTGGCTCGTCCCGGCAGCTGCAGGAAGCTGGTGGCGTTGAAGAACACCGGGAAGGAGTGTGTCTCCATGCAGGAGAAGGACAGGTTGCGCTGTGGAGACACCGGCAAAGAGAGGTCATTCAAAGTTATGAATTGGTCTTCAGAGCGAAAATAAAGCTGATCCCTTGAGTGTGGGAAGTTGTTTGGACTTTTTAAAAGCCTCAACACTTTAGGAAATCGTGTTTTTATTATCCAGGCCTTTGTTGCTTTGAATCTCCTGCACGCTAACCTTCGGATGCTCCATTGAAGCTACATTCAAAGACTGATGTTGCTTGTAAGCATCAGAATAATGTCTCCTCTTCTTTAAAACCAGGGTTGAACAGTAACCTCGCTGATGTGTGTGTGCAGGCAAAAACAAACACTACTGTGGATTTTAGGGACTAATTACCTTCAAGCTTCTCCAAACGTGTGCTTTTAATCAAATCATTAGCAAGCGCACACTATTGAGCTGCCTTACCATCTATAGATGATTCCTGATTGCCTCTGTCTGTTTGTGTGATTTGAGAGCAGATCTGTTTTGATTAGAAATGAAAGGCGGCGCTAGTCATCAGATTGAATTAGAGGTGCAGCTTTAACGAACTTGATTAGTGTCTCTATTTGTTATATCAGTTCACTAGAGATTGTACTTGATAGACTGGCTCTCACCTGTTAAGGAAGACGTGTCAGTGTTTCTCAAACTTTTTCATACCAAGGACACTTAACCAATAAAAAAACACTCGCGGACCACCAAACTCCACATATATCCCAAAACACATAGTTTTTCTAGAACAGATTACAAATCACCTGGAAATTGTACAAACAGGTGGCAACATGTGTGACGAAGGTGTTGCGCTGGGCTATATTATGCAATCGAAAGTGAAACTTAAGCTCGCTCCATTGCAGAGATATTCCCGCGAGAGTGCGGAAAACTTATTTATTTCAAATGTGAAATGTTACCAATATACTCACAGACCACTAGGGGGCGGTCACGGACCACCAGTGGTCCGCGGACCACACTTTGAGAAGCACTTGCTTTAAAGTCTATCAAATCTTGTTGTAAAACTAATCTGAAGGATGGCAAGACACTTAAACCAAACAAATGATGGCGGCTTTTGTGGCTGCTAGCCCTGCACAAGGACAAATTGTTCTTAAAGTATCTGCACAATGTGACATGCTCCCCTTAATAGTGTCTCCCTGATCCTGTGCTATTTGAACGTGTTTGAAAAGGTAATATGCATACATTTGGTGCAGCATTGTCCCTTTTCTATGCAAATGAGGCTCATCAGAGCTAATAGCCAAACACATTAACAGTGAAATGATGAGCTTCTTTAGAGGAAATTGTGGTTACTGAAGTGCATTAATACGGAGGGTCACGCCCAGACTTTCCAGAGATCATGGTTTATTAAAACTCACTGTGTCATTATTTATTTATATTTTTCTCTGCCTATTGTTCTGCTTCTGTGTTTTGGGGCAAATGTATTGATAATACTCTGCTACATGGACGATTGCAGTCAGAAGCAAAGAAGGGTAAATTACACTTAGCTGCAGAGCTTTACCGGCATGTTTGGACGGATTGGAAGTAATGCTAAACTCATGTTGCTATCAGAGCCCGCAATCCACTCTTTGGGATTTTTTTGGGAATGTGCTGGACTTACACCAGTAATTATCAAGATACCGTGCATGGATTTGTTAAGTAAAGCATCTAAAAGGTTGCTTATTCTGTATATGTGTTGAAAACAAACTGTTCCAGTGGTTGCAGTGGAATTAGGTCGTTATAGGTTGCAGTAAAATGGCACACAGATATGGAGAGAGAGCACGACGACAGGAGGCAAACACACGGAGAGGCCACTGAGGGGTCGGATGTATCTGATTAATTATGAATCTGTTCAACTATTTGGGTACGGTGAATAATTTGCCCTCTCACTCAGGTCAGATACAGACTTAGTGTGACAATAATGAGCATGTTCAGTTTTCAGCTGCTGTGTGAGCATGTTATTTCAAGCATTTTAGATTTATAGTTACAGTTCGTAACGGCACATTTCTCTTACAAAGCTGGACGTGTCTATCTTCTTCCTGCGGGCCAGGTCTGTGATGTTGTCTCCGTTGTAGTTGATGCTCTCCATGCAGCCTTTAAAGTTCTTCCTCCCGGCTCCAACGGGCTTTCCACTGTACGGCATTCCCACCAAAACTCAACTGGGGAAGAACAGAGGGGAAAAATACACATAAGGATTTTGTATCATTCATTTGCTTCCAACCTTACTTGGAGAATATTGCCAAATGTATGTTTAGCCATTTCCAAGGGAGTACAGTAGCAACATTCACATACCATGCCAATAGAGATTATTCATTGTTTTTGTATGAGAGTTGGGGAGAAAAATACATTGGCTATACCTTAATGCTTTATTTCTTCCTTATGCATAAGGTGCCATACTTACCAAAGGAAAAGAGATAGTGCCGTTTCATTCTTCCACATGAAATACCCCCTTCATAGGATATGTACTTTTTTTTTACTGAAATCCTTGACGTGTACAGCATTGAGTTTGCCACTTCTGATTAAATGTGTGTTAAATAAACTCACTACAAAAACTACCTTGTACCGATTTTATTATTGAGTCGAGCCAGCCAGTTCAGATTCAGTCACTCCTCTGATATTATATGTAGGACAGTTAGTGTCAAACAAACATTAAATCCCAGCATATTTGGTCTGCATAACAAGGACACAACCGACAAACCCTAATATAATTACTTTTTAACCAAACACCTTGATATCAGCATATGTGCATGATATATATTAATACAATATGACTGCTGGAGCAGTGAAAGCATCAAAGGAAGGGGCGGTGTGTGAGGAGCAGATGTGATGAGAGGAGAGGCTAATAAACATCTGCTGGGAAGCACTGAAGGACACACAGCTGATGAGAATGTAAAATGCGTGCATATTTTTGTGTTTGAGAACATGTGTTTTTTTTCAGACATAGCCCTTAGCGAATCCAAGTTGATGTGCAATTACCAGTCGATATGTGTCCGTCTATGTGTGTGTGTGTGTGTGTGTGTGTGTGTGTGTGTGTGTGTGTGTGTGTGTGTGTGTTATTGTATGTGTCTGCAGTGACGATCCAGCAGTCTTAGTAATTACTGCCAAGGGTGGACACAAATGGATCCAGACATTTACTCTACAGGCTTAAATAGGAACAACACACACACACACACACACACACACACACACACACACACACACACACACACACACACACACACACACACACACTCACACTCACACTCACACACACACACACACACACACACACACACACACACACACACACACACACACACACACACACACACACACACACACACACACACACACACACACACACACACACACACACACACACACACACACACACTAGTTGGAGTACAGTGGTACTTTGAGTAAAAGCTTGTCACAATTTCTCTATGTGTGGAGAGACCCAGCCACGCAATAACACTGCACAGGATCCATTTTACACACAAACACATGCACTAAAAACACACACACACACACTAAAAAACACACACACACACAAATCCTCCTGTTATATAGATTTCCCTGAAAACCCCTAATTCAACAGTGTCAGTTGAATTGGACTGTGCTTTGTCTTGCCCTATTTGTCAGTCTCCTATTTGGCACGGGAACCGATCAGCCATATCAGCAATACCTGCTAGAGGTCACACACAGACATAGTAATGCACACACACACACAAACGTACGCATAGTCGCATACACACATAGGCCTATAACCATTCTAAGCTCCACACAGGGATGCATTTCATGGCCATTATGCAATCCAAAATCAATTTCCTGTTTTAAGTATTGTTAGCTGAACTCTTTGCATTCCATTACTGAAAGACATTAATTATGTGAGTTTTATGGATTTGCATTATAGCCCAGGCTAAAACCAATATCCTGTGTTATCAATGCACTGTGCAGGCGAGAAGGCCTAGCTGCAGTACCACCAGTGATGAGAATGTGTTTAAAAAGCATTTGTGAAAACAGAAGGGCATAAGGATAGGGAAACTGGTGGAACACTGAGATCAAGTGGAGATAAAACATTGGACGTGGTTTTATAGGTAATCATTTTTTGCCTATATATATTCCAAGGAATTGCGTGACAGCACTTTCCTATGTTAAAGGAGATAAGAAAGGAAGCATTGAAGCATTTAGAGAATTCAACCAACTCTGAGCATGGCTGCAGCTTGAAAACGTAGGGGTATTTTCCCCTTAATAGAAACCTTCATAAGCAGAAAAGACAATCCAACCTTAGCCATTGTCCCCACTGGGTTTAGTCACAGCCAGGGCAGACTCCAGTATATTCATTTTGTGTTTCCCACCTCCCCTGTGTGTTCTCTGCTCTCCTGAGTGTGTGTGTGTGTGTGTGTGTGTGTGTGTGTGTGTGGGTGTTCTCTTGCTCTCACTCTCCTGGCTCCTATATCCCTGCTCAACCTGCACTGCTATCAATCTTCTCCTCACCCCTCTCACTCTCCCTGCTCCTCCAACACTCCTGCAATCAGCTCATAATCTCTGCAGCACATCGCCGGCTCCTCTACCTCTTCCTCTCTGTGCCGGTCTTTGTCTCCTCCCCTGTGGTAGTCACTTCCTTCAGGCCTCGCTCGTCTAGTTAAATCTGAGTACTTGTAGTTGTGTGGATTCCCAGTCAGACTTTAACTCTTCTTTCCCCCTGTGCCTCAGGATCATCCGCCTTCATGCCTGCCTTGGTTAACCATCTTCCCCTTTCCACTCACCCACCAGTCCCTGTTGACCTGCATTAAACCTCCTTAAACTTATCCTGCCTCTGTGTGAGTTCTTCCATCCTATCGTAACAGTTTGAAATGATCGGACAGTGCTTTTGGAGGGTTTAGATTTGATCTGAGAACTGCTCACCTCAGCAGATATTCAGCATGTTGTGCTGAATATAAGAACTGCCCAAGGCTCCTGAACAAGAATCCTCACCTCAATCATTATGTTCCAAAAATCACAACAGCTCAAACATTAATGAAAGGACGCCTGCGAGCTGGTTCAGGGAGACTGCTAAAGTGCATCGCTACACTCCATATGGCGTGCTCGTCTCTTTTTTAAAGCTGTACGGCTGCTCTGACTTTCTGCTTGAAGCTCCATCACTTCCACCCCTGCTTCCACTTGTAGGCTGTGAGCAGAAGTTAACCTAGAGGGGAAGCTGGTGTTATTGAGTTTCCTTCTGTGAAGGCATGAGTTTAGAGCCTCACAGCCAAATATCAGTGTTGTACATATTCACATAAATATCCTTCCAAACTAGGATGGGACTAAAATATCACCTGAGAAGAAGATGAGTCAGCGATGTGTGTGTGTCAGTGCTCAGGGCTGCTGACATGCTGGTTAGAGTCATGTTGTAACAGCTAACAGGCTAGTTAATACATATTTGAAAAGCCTCATGTATCTTTAATTATAGCAGTCCAATATGTGTGTAATATCTGTTATTTTCCACAACTTTTTATAGGACTTTACTATCCTAAAAAACTGTCTCTCTAATTTAGAGTGATATGCACAGTCATGCAAAGTCAAATGTCTCTTGACCACCTACATACATGCCACCCATCTGTAATAACCAATTGCATTTCCTCATGATCATTAACCTGCAGAAATACACAGGCATGACAGCACATTGTCACATTCCTGCAATGGTTTTGTCCCAGTAATGCATGCAATCTCACACAAGCACCAACCCCGCTTCACCTTTGCACAAGCAGTTTTGTTTGGAGCCAGGAAATTACCAAATAAAACATGGAAAATGACAAAAAATGGTGGCTTTGCCCTGCACTTTGACGCCCTGCTTACCTTATCATTTGTTCCTACAGTAGCAAAACCATCACACTTACAATCATCACTCAGGCAGATCTGAGGTAGCTGAATACATCGGCTGACATTTTAGCTTCTTCCACACTCTGCCGGTTCCTTTCTCATAATTGAGCTCATGACTGCCTATCAATGAACACCTGTTGAATCCTTCGACACCCAAAGGTTTGATGATGTCAAGCGGATATGCCTTATAAAGAAATAGATGTAGTGTGTGCAGTTAAGTAGCAAAAGCTTTGTACAGCTGTAGCTAACGCATATAATCTCCCAGTCATCTGTTCAATGCATTTGTATGCCATTATGCTTTTGTGTTGGATTATTTCCTTCATGTAATTCAAAGGGGAAAGTACATATTTTATTCACATCCACGCCTCTGAGGGCCTCATACCTCATAGTCCAAATCGAGGTGGTCAAACTCTCCGTTGGTCCTGAAGTGCTGAGTGTGTCGGTCCAGAGTGAAGTTGACGTTACGTCGGTAGCGTTCGATCACCACTGAGTGCCAGTGGTTGTCGTCCAGGAGGCTGCCGGTGGTCACAGAGGTGTGACCCAGGATGGAGCCGTACTGATTACTGCCTGCAATTAACATAATAATGATATGTTACAGAAATATATCAGATGTGACAGAGGAATTTCCTTTTGTTCTAAACACTATCATTAGATACATTCTGGGCATCTTAAGGACTACATTTGTATGAGAGTTCTCTGGCAAGGCAAAAGGTAAATTGACCTATACATAGGTTTCCTGAAAAATGTGCACATTTTTATGTATTTATTCACAACTATTGAATATATGAAGGTTCACAAGCTGATTCAAATTGAATATGCTTTTTCCTGCCAATATTATCCCACCTGAAAGTGCAGTCGGTTGTTACTACAGGTCTATGGGAGTGCGTCACTGCAGTGGTTGTGCGTGTGTGTGTGTGTGTGTGTGTGTGTGTGTGTGTGTGTGTGTGTGTGTGTGTGTGTGTGTGTGTGTGTGTGTGTGTGTGTGTGCGTGCGTGCGTGCGTGCGTGTGCGTGTGTGTGTGTGTGTGAGGCATGATTAAAGGTTACAGAGAGCTGTCAGCACCACAGCTGGTGGACGGAGAGTGATGTGCACGCACTTATGGATTGAACGTATTGAGAGGCAGGGCATTCATTTAGATTACAAAAGTTTAGCGTTATTGCTAAGCCTATAATGATGCTATTATTCTTATGACCTTTCAAATTGTTTCATTCGACTAAAGGCAATCCAAGGATCAGAGCAGTACTGTGTATAGCTTGGCTTTAGACTTATCACCACTGCAAGAGTTGTATTTACAAGAGTTATGACTTCCAAAAAAGTCTACAATAATGTAATACTAAGTCAGCTACATTACAAATATCGTAGCAAGAGGGTCAGCCTTCCTTTGCATTTCTTTGTCAAAACAAAAGAGTGTTTCTGACCCAGGTTGATCTGCATCAGCAGCTTGGCCATGCGCAGCTCCAGAGTGATGTAGTCCCCCTGCTGGCCCTCCCCGTGGAGAATCACTCCCTCACTCTCTGACGTCTTGAACCTCAGTGCGATCACATCTTTGATGATCTTCATCTTCTTCACCTGCACAGAAGTGAGAAAACCACATGAACCCCACAGAGCGGGAAAACACCACAGGTGGCTTTTTTACAGCTAAAGAAACGTAGAAAGAAAATATGAAAACAAACTTTCTTTAATTTACTGCGAAACAAGAGCGCCTTCACTCTCCCAGATCTCCCATAACATTGCTATTTGTTAATATTTAAGACTAGAATCATCTTGTTATTGTGATTTAAAAAGAACAACAATACCAAGTAACTAATGCAGTACCTTAAAACGATATGAGATCACACCCAGTCCATCAAAGTTGATCACACCGGCCCCTGAAAAAGACAAAAAGTAAACAGTTAGAAATAATAAAGATACAGAGAAGCTAACAGATGGTAAAAGCCGGGGACATTAATAGTGCAACAGTGCGTGTGTAGGCGGATTGCAGGTGTGTGTGTGTGTGTGTGTGTGTGTGTGTGTGTGTGTGTGTGTGTGTGTGTGTGTGTGTGTGTGTGTGTGTGTGTGTGTGTGTGTGTCAGTGGGGGTGCATGTTAGCCTAGAAAGAAAGCATTGTCAGGTGTGCTAACAGGGACGTGCACAGACATTTGGAGGGGCTATTGCTCTAAACTGGAAAAAGGGCATCCCCCCCAAAAAAAATATAAGACCAAAACGATTATTACATTAACTAATTTGAACAGTAATTCACATCATCATCTCATAACAAAATAAGCTAAGGCAACTACTTGCATTCTGTGACTTGATTTTTAAAATGAAAACCAGGGACATGTTTTGTTTTGCGGTCCATTTCTCATTAAAAATATCTAATGTTAGAAACTACTAAAGAAAAAATGGGGACAATCAATGTCGTTTGACCATTGCAGACATACTGATAAAATAGGGCTTCTATAATTACCTTAAATAAACTCACTAATTAATGAAACCAGTTCAATACGCATTATTCTTATTATTCTTTATGAGCGCAGTGATGTGTAAGGTATCTAATTACTTATTTAGTTTTCCATAACTTAATAACAGAGATGGTCAAATTAAAGTAGAGACATGGCAGAAATCCTACAATGAAGCGGGCAGTGAAGTGTTCTCTGAGAGAGGGCAATCAAGAGAAGAGAGAGAGGGCGATCAAGAGAAGAGAGAGAGGGCGATCAAGAGGAGAGAGAGAGGGCGATCAAGAGAAGAGAGAGAGGGCGATCAAGAGGAGAGAGAGAGGGCGATCAAGAGGAGAGAGCGAGCGGCCCCGTCGAGGGAGTTTACCATGCGGGCAATTACATGTAAGAAGAAGGAGAAGAAGAAGTACTTGTAGAAAAATGAAGCTGGTGTGTTTCCCGCAGCGAGACACTACACATTGTGGGGGCTTATCATGGTGATTTGACCACAACAGAAACAAAAAAAACCTCTCGCTCTCTCCAGAGGGGCAGGTCAGCCAAAAAGGGGAAACAGTCCGTTGCCCGGGCAACATAAGCCCGTACCTGTGCACGTCCCTGTGTGCTAATATGCTAATAATAGATGAAAAGACTAATGGTTCGTGGAAATGTTATATTTTTTGACTGCACCTGCCAGCTGTATGCATGGGAGGCTTGTGCATTAAACATGTCATTTGTACAGGTTACTATTTGCTGCAATAGAGCTTTTATCGTTTCAAATGACGTTGTACCCCAGGCCTCTTTCACAGACGACATTTTGACGTGTCACAGTATGAAAAGCTAAGGTGTAAATAATACTATGAATGATGACTGAGTTCCATTAAGCGGCTTGTTTCAGGGTCCTGACATTATACACTCTGGCTCACTATCTGTCATGGCTCACTGGGATAATTGAATATAACACAGCCACCGTTAATGTTAATAGTAACACCTGTGCTTTTTTTTATTATGGCAAGTCAAATATCTTCAGTAAAAAGGCCTGTATTAAAGGAAAAGTGTGGGATTTATTTAATGTTTTCCACATTCAAGCAAAGCAGTAGGAGTAAAACTGTGCTGTTGTTCAAAACACTGACAGAAATATTTTCTATTGCATTGTCATAGGGTCCTTTTTCCGCACGCAATGAGAAGATATGAACTCATTCTAAAAAAGTGTGGAACAATAAATCATGGCCGTTGCAAAAGGTATTAATGTTATACATCCCATCATAAATGTATGATTGCGTTCCAAGAATGCAGGGTTGGTGGTTGTTCCTACAGTCTCTAAAAGTACAATGGGAGCCAGAGCCTTTTCTTATCAAGCTCCACATTTGTGGAATCAGCTTCCAGTTTGTTTTCGGGCGGCAGACAGCCTATCCGTTTTTAAGAGTACGCTTAAGACCTTCCTTTTTGATAAAGCTTATAAATAATCTAATAAGAGTGCATTGACGTAGATACGTTGTGCCTCTTCACCTATACATTTGAGTTCTTACTCTTTCACTTAAATCCTAAAAACTTAGATCTTATATTTAAAACTTTATCCAAACCTTTCCCCTCTATGACCTCTCTCCTGGACTTCGAGTCGTGGCTGAACCAGTCTCTGCGGTCCTGCCAGACTCTCACCATACTACTTCCCTGATGGCTCCCACAAGATTGCTGACATCCTCGTGGATTCATCTTCTTATTACAGACATACATTTCCAAACATTTGGACTACCTATGTTGTAAATGTATTATCTCTTCGATTTACACACGGCATCTATTGCACGTCTGTCCGTCCTGGGAGAGGGATCCCTCCTCTGTTGCTCTCCCTGAGGTTTCTCCCATTTTCCCTTTAAACTGTGGGTTTCTCTCTGGAAGTTTTTCCTTGTACGATGTGAGGGTCTAAGGACAGAGGGTGTCGTATTGTCATACTGATATTCTGTACAAACTGTGAAGTCCACTGAGACAAATGTAGCATGTGTGATATTGGGCTATATAAATAAACATTGATTGATTGATTGATTGATAAACCCACCAGGTGTTTTCACTTTTGACTAATTAGCTGCTGGGCTAATCATCCGGAATTGAAAACACCTGTGTGTGTGAGCTGTGTTCCAAGAATGTGAAACATAAAACGATAGTTACGGCTGTAACTACGGTTCTATGAGTCCCGGATGACCGCCAGAGGCGGTGCTTTAAGCACTGGATATGTCCATCGCGCGCATGCGCAGCTCGAGTACCAATAACAACAAAGTCACCTGTGACCCACGTGACTCCGGCTATATCAGCCGGTGTCGTCAGAGGATCTGTTCCTTTCATCTTGAAAGCGCGAGGGTACCGTGGCTACATTTGTGTCTGGGATCTGTTCCCAGAATCTTCTCGCGAGCACACAAGAATTCAGAGTGACAGGGAACTCTGGCGGTCATCCGGGACTCATAGAACCGTAGTTACAGCCGTAACTATCGTTCTATTTCGTCCATACTGACCGCCAGAGGCGGTGCTTTAAGCACTGGATGACTTATACCAACAATGTCATGAAGAATCCAAGCCCTTGCTCACCACTGGAAACAGCGGAGCTCGGCAAAAGGACCACGCCCAAAGAATGGGGAGTGGCGACATTGACCTGATGACAACTGGAGAATGTGCCAGAAGACGCCCACGACGCCGCGGCGTAGATGGTCTCCAGGGGCACCACCCTCAGGGCAGCCCAAGATGTTGAGATGCTCCTTGTAGAGTGGCATTTCAGCCTGATGGCAGGGGGCGGCCACTGGCCCCGTAAGCCTGTGAGATGGTATCGACAACCCAGTGGGGAAGCCACTGGTTAGAGGGCATAACCTCCTTTAGTGCCGCCAGGGCAAAATCAAGAGTTGCTTCTACTGCCGTATACAGGCAGTAGCCTTGATATACGCCCTTTGGGCACCCCCAGGGCACAGCAACTTCGACGTGCCGTACTCCTGAATGTCAAAGCGTGCCAGCTGGGCAGGCTGATTGAAGTGGGTTTGTGGAAGGACCCCGGGCCGGAATGCCACATTTGCCCAAAGGGCAACGCCTGAGAGTCCCACCTCGGGCATGTATTGTTTATGGAGAGGACATGCAACTCCCCGACTCGCTTCCCTGAGGCTATGGCAAGCAGAAATGCTGCCTTCGTGGGCAGCCACCTAAGCCCCACCTGGGCCAGGGGCTCGAAGGGAGGAGATGATAGGGCATCCGGCAGCAGGGGCAGGTCCCAAGCCGGAGCCCTCGGGGTGCTAGGGGGACGCTGCCGTAAAGCCCCTCTCATAAAGAGGGACACCGACCTGTGGCACCCCGCCGTGGCGCCGTCGACCCGAACATGTCGGGCAGAAATCGCAGCCACATAAATTCAGAGTGGAGTGAGAACGTCCACTATCTAGAAGGGACTGTTGTCTAAGCAACAACGTACATGCTGTCCCCAAGGAACACGCACATTCTTGCCCCCCAGTTGGGGTAGAAAGTGCGTGAGTGCAAGCTGCACAGCCCGAAGCTCTAGCACGTTGACCTGGCGCACACTCTCCTGGGCAGACCGCTGACCCTGAACGGTCCTGCCCTGCCGCACTGCACCCCACCCTGAGAGACACGCACCTATGGTGATGGTCTCCTGGCGGGATGGGATGGCGCCCATGGGCACGCCCACTAGGAGATAGGCCCTGCCCCTCCAGCGTGACAGAGAGTGGAGGCAATGCTGCGACACCCTGACTTCCCTGTGCCTGTGCCACTTGGCGTCCAAGTGAAGGCTGTTCAGCCACATCTGCATGGGGCGCAACGACAGCGGGCCTAAGGGCCCAGCGGCCGAGGCAGCTGCCAGTCTGCCCAAGGGCCGGAGGAACTGAATATAAGGCACCATCTTGCCCGGCACACGTGGAAGTAGGCATCCCTCAAGTCCACGGTTGAGAACCACTCCACCTGTGCATATGCAGTGGTCAGCATATAGAATGGCAGCACCTTCGGGAATCTGTTGATTCCTCTGAGGTCCAAGATCGGGCGAAATCCGCCGACTTTCTTGCTCACGAGAAAGTACGCCGAGTAGAACCCCCTGGGCTAAGCAGAGGGTCTTACTGGCTTGATTGCGTCCTTGGACAGAAGGACGGACAACTCTTGGGCCAGAGCTAGGGCCCCTGCCGGATCGCTGACGACTGTCAATTAGACCCAGCCGAAGGCTAGGGGCCGGAGCTGCGGTCCGTACCCCTGGGTTAAGGTGAAAACCACCCAAGGGACGGAAGTACAGACCGCCCAGTAACTGAGCTGCTGCTGGGAAAGCAGCCGACGACCGCCCCCGGGAGCCTCTTGGGGGGTGCCGGTAAGGCTCTGGGGCACGAGGCTGCCTGGAAGGCGGGCGACCCGGGGCACGAAAGTCATTGGGTCGCGCCGCTAAGACCTCTGCAGACCACCCCTGTAATCCGGCGACTGAGTGCGGCTGCTAG